CAGCTGCGGCTGGCCCTCCAAGGGTTAACAACGCGTTTACACGCCTTAATGTCATAATAATTGCACCCGAGGGAAAGATTCTGCGGGTAACCTTTGCTGGCTGTCAAAGGCTAAACCCGACATAAGGGGCAGAGGTGGACGCCGCTGGTGTTCGCCCCTCTTCCTCCTGCTCCTCTGCTTCAGGTGTTGAGAGAAATGTGCCTTTGCCGTCGCAAAGTGGTGTCATCTCAGCCCCGTCGCTATGGCCCCGCTGCCGGGCACAGAGGTTTGGGGACGGTCCCGTGTCCTGGGGTGCCGCCCTACCGCCGGCATCTTCCCTGGATGAGGAGGAGAGCATGAGAAAAATCAGCATTGATGGTGTGGGTAAAAGCTGCTTTCTCAGCACCCACTGAAGTCTTCAACTCATAACTTCACTGGGAAATAAATGGGGCTTGGAATTGCCCAGGGGTGATCCTTTGAGCTCTAAGCTCTTAAGGAAGGTGAGCACATGCTTTTGTTAAGGCTCTGTTTAAGCACTTTTCTGGGTCTGGTTATAGAGTTGAGCACCTTTCAGGGGAGATCTGGAGCCAGAGGAGATATATCCACTTATTTGGGCATCTGATCTTGTGTTGCTGAAGTCTTTGGTAAGAGGTGGTGCCGGCCCAGGGAGCAGGGAGGACAGCAGTGAACCTCCCTGTGAGGGCTCTGAAACCCTCCTGTGCCGCAGCTGGGAAGCAGCAGCTCAGCTCACCAGAGAGAGAGGGACTCTTGAGCCTGCACTGAAACCGACACACCGAAATTGTTGTTTTAAAAAGTGGCTACAAAGGTAAAATACAGCACCTACTGAAAGGCAAATTAGTAGCAGGTTCTGTCTAGCAAGCATTGAGGGGAAGTATACAGAGCCTGTGTTGTTATTACTCTCCCAAAGCTTCCTACCACACTGAGAGAGACACAGTCAGGGCTGAATAAATAATACATCATCATTTTCAAGTCCCAGAGAGGTGACTCGGAGGCAGTTCAAAAGTTCATTGAATTATCAGTTCTCCTTGGGTTCATTATTTCTTTTGCAAAGGATGCTATCAATCTCTATAACTCACAAGCTACCAAAAATAATAATAAGTAAAAGATCATTATGTTGAAATATGTGTTGTAAAGCAGCATAGCAATTTGGAAGATTAATTCAGTCCAGAAGGGGCAATAGCTGCTGGCTAGAGATGGGCTGGACACCAATTACTTCTCTCACTCATTACTTCCATGGACAGAGATTGGGATAACACCTGCAGTGCATGAATAATTCTCCTTGAGTTAATATGCTTTCAGTGCTGATTAACTCTATTTATACCTCATCTATAGTGATGCGAGCGATGTGATTCATTCCTTTATTTCTGTAACTCTCTGATAAATGGCATTTATTTGCCACCTCTGACCTCCTCATGTGCATGCTGCCCATTAATCCTTCTCAGCCCAGGCTGCTACTGCCATCCCAGGCCGTTCAGTAGCCATCAAACAGCTGCTCCTCATTCTCTTTCCTTCACTTGAAAGTACCCACTCTGCTACAAAAATGTGGGTCAAGGGAGAAAAGAGATGGGAAATTTCACTATGATGATAGAGGAGGAGGGAAGTATATTTTGTGCACGTGATATTTGGTTCTGTAGGATCTTTGTCCCACAGAGAAAACATCAAGGTGCTTCTGAAGAAACAATGATCCAATGTGATGTGTTTGGAGTATTTAGCCCTGAGTGACCGATTGCTTCAAGGTAAGGTGCCATGGCCATGCTTCAATAAGCAAGGTGTGACCAGCTTGAAGTCAGATGTTTGGTGTCACTGAGGCTAGTCTGTGTCATGGGATTACTGGAATTAGTACTGGAATGGTCTGGCTGGGGTGGGCTGGTAGAGTCACCATCCCTGGATGTTTTTAAAAAGACTGGATGTGGCACTCAGTGCCATGGTTCAGTTGAGGTGTTAGGGCTGCGTTGGACTCTATGATCTTGAAGGTCTCTTCCAACCTAGTCATTCTGTGATTCTGTGTGTGATTTTTCTTTTCCACTTTTATTTTTTGGGTTTATTTTAATTTTTATTTCCCTAACTTCTCTGAGTCAGGTCTACAGGGTTCATGACCCAGGGCTCACTCTTGAAACACATTGTGGCCAGACACAGTCTCCTGAGGCTGGCAGAATGAAGTCTGCAAAGAGAGAGAGACCTTGAGTGTATTAAATGCTCTTGCTTCTCTCCATCACTACCCAAACCCAGAAGTAAAACTTGTCTTGATCTGGGATGTAAAGTAAAAATATCTGACTGCTTCAAGAAGTAGCAAGGTTCTTTTGCTCTGTTGGAAGTGGAGATGCATTGCCCAGCGGCTGGTAGAACCCTGTCACTAAAGGACACAAAATGATTCACACGAACATCTCTCAGTGTTAGAACAGGAAAAAGGCTACTTTATTCCCTGACTCCAGTATTTATAGATGCTCAACAATGACCAGGGATTGGATAATTAAGTTATCACCTTCCCAAGCACACTGGTCATGCAAAATGTCCACCAAAAGACGTTTCTTAGAAGGAATGTGATAAACAACTTACATTTATAGAACTTTCATGGGAAAGTAACTAAAACTATGAAAACATTATCAGAAGGCTTAAAACATCTCACCCTTTCTCCTTTAAAAAAGAAAAATGAACAAAGAAAATGAACAATATTTTAAGCAATCAAAAAGGAAAATAAACAATGTTCTGAACAATCAGAACGCTCTAGTTCCAGGGTGATAGAACCCCTCACATTCACAATGGCAGCACAGATACCAGTCTGAGAGAAAACTGGGGAAGTTGGACTTCTGTTTCATCATTTAACCATCCTTGCCAAGAATAACTTTTCCTTTACATATAATATCTTATTTTTCACATATCTCCCATGCCATCCTATATCCACCACTTAGGATCTGCAGCATTTCCCATCACCTAGGCAGAAGGAAACTTGGCCTATCTGTTAAGCCTTGCCTGTGTTCTCCCTACAGCACAAATGTGCTTTTCTGGTCTGGGACAGGCTGGATTCCCTGGAGGAGCTGAAAAACCTTTTCTAATACCTGATTCCCACCACTGAGCTATGAATCTTTTTCTCTGACTTTCTGGGGGCAGGTTCCTCATTTGCATTTTCCTTTGATCATTGTTTTAAATTCTTGAGGGATTCAGCTGCCTGCTCTGTTTATCTTGCTACCCTTTTTTCTCATTCAAGGTCTCCAAACACCTTCTCTAAGAATGAGATAAAAACTTGCACTGAGACCCTGGCTGTTTTTTCTAATTCCCCAGTCTGGTTGGATCTACCCACTGGCCTCAACAGGCTTAAATGTCATTGTACTTTTGTGTAGATGCTTCAAGATAGCTCACTGTCCTCCTTCTCCCTGCATTTCAAACCACACTTTTGCTTCCAGTATGTTCGAGGTCTTTTTTCTCAGTAGAGATCTGTCCTCAGCAGGCCACTCTGCTCTCATGGCACTTCAGACCCAGCCCAGCCCAAGCCTTTGGTGAAGAATTTGTTGCAAGTGGCCTCCTGCCACTGATGGTTGTGGTTCAGGTGCTGTCTCTGCTGGTGCTTTTTGTCATCATCTGGTACTCATCAAATTATAACTGGGCAGTGTGGGGGAGTTTGGGGACAAAAGGGTCAGAGCTGGCAAGGGTGGGTTAAATGCACCAGTTAAACCAGTCTGTGGTGGCCAGCACTGGGACCTTCTCCAACTTATTCCTGCCCCAAGCAGCTCAGTGCCTCCTGCTAGTGTGAAACAGCCCCAAGTCAAATGAGGACACATTGCATTTGGAGATGTTCTCTGCCTCCAGAAGATCAGCAGGATTTCAAAGGCTTAAGTAAGAAAGAGGAAGGCCCTCAAAATGAGCTTTCATAGCTCCACTGTTGTGTTTTGGCTTGGCAGAATGATATTTCAGGCAGAGGTGAGGTCAGATAACTGCTGGCAGAACATTGGGTGGCCAGGTCAGACTTCATCAAACAACACTGAGATCTGAACTTGGGAAAAATACTGTAATTTGAAAAAATTCATATAATTTGCTGTTTCCAGGCTCGCTGCTGAAGAAAAGTCGTCAGTACTGAGAGATGGTTAGATGTGAGAGGCGGCACAATGGTCCGCAGATGGATGGACATTGGAGTCAGGCTGTATGGGGATTAATTGCTGCAAGCCCAGAAAATAACTGTAAAGGGATAACACAGCTGCTGCTGGAAAAAGCAAACCTCTTGGCTTCTTGCACCACCTCATGCACAGTGTTCCCCTCCCCTCCATCTCTCCCTGCTCCCTGTGTGCTGCCATAAGGCACGTCCTGGAGCCGTGCTTAATGGAAAAGTGATTTGTCTCATAACTGCAGCTTTACACAGTGTGCTACTGTGGGCGTTACAAATTGCTAAGCAGATTTAAAGTGTTCTTTGAGTTACAAACTGCAGTATTTCTCCACATAGTGATTATTATTCATCTTTTCCAAGACACCGTGGGCCTGATCCTGCAATCTGCACTCCTATTAAAGTCAGTGCTGTGGGAGTACTGCCGGCATACAGACAGCAGGAGTAAGACCCAATTAATTTAGCCACAGGGAAGAGTAGGGCAGCAAACAACCTTTTTTCCTCTATTGTTTTCCTTTTTCTTTTTTCTATTTTTTTCTATTTTTTTTCTCCCCTGTGCTTGTATGTGAATTTTCTTGTTCTGTGGCCATATCCAGAGAAGTGTATCTGGGTGCAGGCTGCTGGCCAGTGCACCTTATTTCTGTCCTTCTCTTGGGTCAGATGACCAGTAAGTCTTTCTCAATGGAAATCTCATCCAAACTGATCTCTGTGCATCGTGGGAAGGGGCACAAACAGATAATTAAAATGCTATGTCTAGAAGCTGGAGGTCTAAAAATGTGGTGTGCATGTATGCCTTGAGCCCATACCACCAGCCCTGCAGTGGCTGGTCCCCACCAAGGCCAACCCTGCATGGGATGCTGCAGACAGAATTTATGGGTGTGTTCCCCACACAACATCAGGGTCTGTTTGTGGGCAATCTGGAAAAAACCTCTGAGCCTCTTTCACCCTCTTCTTCTGGGGAAGACAGCTCAGTGCTCTCCTGGAGGAGAAAGCAACTCTCAGTGACTGGCCTGCTGTGCTCTCCCTGCCAAGAGGTGCTGACACCAAGGTGGTGAGCTCCAGCTGCACTGTAAGGAGCACAAACCCCAGGATGGCTGCCCTGGTGGCCCAGCCCATGGGCTGTCCCACTGGTTCTTGTGCCACTGTTCCCTCCATCCCAGGAGGAGACCTTGAATTAGGCTCGGTTATAGAGCACTGAGGCAACAGCGAGCCTCATGGTGTGAGGTGTTCACAGAAATGTGTGCTGCAAAGCAAAGAGGATATTGTGCTTTGTATCAACTGGAGTGTTTTTAGCTTGTGAGACTGCAAGCCTCGAGGGCAGTTGTAACAGCTGAACCTTGGAGCCACAAATGCATGGTCTTGAAGCCAAGGATGAGCTGGAGTCATCCCAACATGAGGAGGGAGTTTGTGTGACTGTGACACTGGGACGCATGGTGTCCTCTGCAAGGGCTCCTCAAGTCCTGCTGGGCTTCGGATGAGAGCTTTCATCACGCAGGGAAACCTCTGCTTCCTTGCCCCAGATTCCAGCAGCACGGGGTGATGCCTGAGCCAGAGAAAACATCTCCCCCTTGCTTTTTTATGAAAGCTTTCTGGGATTTTTTCCTGGTCTCACAGAAAGCCATGACAAATCTCCCGTCCCCTCCCAGGGAAGCAGTGCCAGCCAGGAACACCTTAGGGAGTGAAAAACACTCTGTCAAAAACATAAGAAAAAGCAAGGGGAGAAGGATCATGATTAGTTGTTTTTCTGCAATGTGAATGTATAATAATGAACCTTGGGAGTGAAGCCATGTTAGTCCTAATTACAGCTCTTTAAGTATTTATATAGCCTAATCTGCTCACCTTGTTCTTTGGCCCAGTCCAGCATATCTGTAGAGCTGCCCTTTCCAACTCAGCCCCATTCATATATTTCACTGGCCCCTGGGTAGCTATTACTTTGCTTTAGCTGAGAGGATGAAAACAGATCACACCAGAAAGGTAAACCCCAGGTAAAAAGGGTATAGTGTTAAATAAAAGCAAGATGTGTTGTTTTGCCTACATAACAGGTTCATTACAGTCTCCTCTCTCACCATTATTTATGCAGATTTTTAACAAATGCAAAATCTGCAGATTTCAGGAAAATTCAGCATTGGACATGCCCTGAAGAATCAACTGAGACAACCATGCTTATTTTCCTGTGTGACCTCCATCAAGTTGTAAATGATACATTCAGCAATGACAGAGTAGTACATTAACCCCCTCTTTCACCTCTCAATGCTTCATTACAACAGGTCTATTTAGATGTAATAGGAATGGCTGGGAGATAGATTAGATGCTCATGGCTATGATGTGGAATTAGTTGTGTAACCAACCCCTTCTTTAGCCCTTCTTTGGAAATCCTTCTTCTAATACCTTTCCTTCAATAAACCTAAGGAGGTCAGGCTCGTTTCCAAAGAACTACTTGTAAACTAGAGGAGTGAATATCCAAACTAATGTTTGTTAATATCCTCCAGCCTTGGATCATACCCACTCCCCAGTCCTGTACACTGAACATCTAGGGGATAAAGCCATGTAGTAAATGTCCCACAGGGAGGAAGTAGGCAAATTATGGACTGTCTATAACACCACCACTGAAATGACCATCAATATGTACAGAAGGGCTGTGCAGCTTTCAGGATTTTGGTCATCTTGGCAATTTGAAGAACCTCTAATGTAGCATACTTCATCCTGAGCACCCTTATGAGCCTGTTATGCAAGCAAAACAACACATCGGTATCTCCTGTTGCTTCCACAAAACCTTTATTAAGGAGATGATATACCAGAGGGACAAAATTAGTTTTCACAGAAAGTACCTGATATTCTCATATTGCTCACGTCCATACCAAATTTGTTGGCTGTCTAGGCCTGAAATAAAAAAAGAAATCAAAACAGGGACCATTCTCTTCCTCTGAAGCCAAGTGGCACAGATTAGCCATTTCCAGTCTATAGTACATCTGATTCTGTCTCATCTGACCATCTGGGCTGTCCCTATGACCTTAATACTGTATTTTTATGTTCTTAGAATTATCTTTTTATTTAGTTTTTTTTCCCGATTTCTAAGTGTCTGAAATAGCATCGCAGTTGAGCAGGGTGATATTTTATTTCTGTGAAAATCAGGCTATGGAAAAAGTATGGCACTGTGTGGGGAGGATAGTGCTGAAAGTGGTGCAGTCTATTCCTCCCTGCCTCGTATCTGGGAACAGCCCTCAGTGCATCCTGCCCTCCGTGCCATACCAGGGCAGCGGCTGGCACCGGGGCAGGGAGGAAGACAATGCCTGAAGAGCAGAAATGATGGCCAGCACCTGGGGCCTTTTGTTTGCCGTGCCGAAGGACCCGTAAGAAACCTCCATGAACAGGTGCTGGTTGACTTCCCAGTGAAGCCATTTGGTATCTAGGGCTCCTGAAGGCTCATTTCAAACTGTGGTTGGCTGGAAACTTTCCAGCAAAGTTCCAGGTCAACAGCTGCTTTCTTCAAGACTTGAATGTCTTGTATAGAATGAGTTAAGTTCAGCCAAGGCTCTGGGGTGCCTTTCTCTGGATCCCTAACATCCCTGGGCTGGGGGTACTGCAAACTGGGGAATCAGGAACGTGTATTTGGAAAGTCTTTTTGTGGGCTAAGAAGTCTTGAGTTTAAGGGTCTAGCCCCAATTTACTGAAACTCAGAGGGAAGGAGGGAGGGAGAAGGAAGAAAAATGTTCTTTTTGGTGAACCAGAATTCCTGATCTTCAGACAGCTCTGGTACTAACATTGCCACCTATGCTACATTTCCAAACATTAACCAAGTGATTGCTGCCTATCAGGACTGACCTCCTTGGTACTGTGTGAGCACACCACAGCTCCAGTGACACCTTGACTAGGAGCCAGCTCTCTGGTGCTGTCATTTCCCAGTGCTTGAGAGCAGCATGTTGGTTTAGCAGCACTGCACAGCTGCCCTGTGCACCCTGCAGGGGCCTGATGAGGTTGCCTCTCCCGAGCTGCACATTCAGTCTCCATCTGGAGAAGCACCTCCAGGACAAGGAGAGCCACAGAGAAGGGATGGCTCTCCTGGAGCCAGTGAAGTGCTGCAGGGAGGCAAGACCACTTTGGCAGGCTGGCGGGCACGCAGTGGTCCCGCTCTTTATTCATCTTATGAGGGGCTGGACTATATTTCTGCAGGTAACTTCCCTGACATTATCAGTGTGCTGAACAAATTATGCTGCCAGATAGGACAGGGGTGTGACAGACTCTTTTCCCAGAACCACCCTGTTGCCTGTGAGGAACAAGACAAAATTTACCCCCAGCATCTTTTTTTTTTTCCACCTCAGAAGTGCCCCAGGATCTGCCAAGGTGAACATCAGCAGAGGAAGCCAGTGATGGGTGGACACCTACCAGATTTGAGCAATGCACTCAAATGCCTTGAGAAGAGCTTCATCAAACATGGTACAGAGACTAGCCTCCAGTAGCAGCTAAGTATAAATACATGTGAACTACACAATATGTATTCAAATACTAGGATAATATATAAAACCTCTGTTCTCCAGGTATTGACTCCTCATTTGCTTCACATTCAACCCTCTTTCCTCCTGTACATAGAATCCCCAAATCGTTAAGGTTGGAAAAGACCTGTAAGATCATCAGGTCCTACCATTAACCCATCACTGCTGTGTTCACCACTAAGCCATGTCTCCAAGTACCACGTCCCATGTTTTTTGAACACTTCCAGGGATATTGACTCCACCACTTTTCTGGGCAGCCCATTCCAATGCTTGACCACCCTTTCAGTGAGAAATGTTTCCTAACATCCAATCTAAACCATTTCCTGGTGCAACTTAAGGCTATTTCCTCTTGTCCTTTCACTTGTTAACTAAGAGAAGACACCAAATGCATTGCACAGCTCAAAATGAAGTCACCTAAGACTTGCAGGTTTTCTGCTTCCTACCACCTCCCTGCAGCTGTTATCCAGGCTGGCTGCCCTCACATCCCATTCCCACGTTGCCAGCAGTTAGCTCAGCACACCTGCAGCAGCTCCCACAATGCAGGGCTCAGTCACCAACAACACATTGATTAAATAGTTAAGCACACTGCAAACCCAGCATCTGTATAACAGTAACACATCCCAGGCAGAAAAACTCTGTAGGAAAGGTCCTCCAATTCATTATTTCACTCAGCTGATTAAGAAGATGATCTGTCAGCACTGAGCTCCTGCAGCTGAGCTCCCCAGGCTGACCAAGGTGCAGGTAGATTTTAGGGTGTTGTGAAGTGCTTAGGAAGACCTCTGGGAAACTCAGGTAATTTGCAGTGTACTTGTGCTGCTCTGTAGGTCCTGTGTAGGGGAAATCAAAGCCCAGATGGCACAGCACACCCCTGCAAGACAAAGATGCTCCTCTGTGAGAGAGCTGGCTCCCCCTTTCCACACCTGCAGGCTCAAGGAGAGCTAAGCTGGCTCCTGGTGTGGTCCCAGAGTGATCCTTGCATCTCAGCAAGACCTGTCTGAGTCTAGAGAGTTTGGGAAAGGCAATGTACCAGCTACCCAGTGATGCCCCAAGCCCTGTAACATCTGTCCTGGAGGTGTGGGCAGCAAGGAGCCTTTGCCACAGCTGTCTGTCCTTGAGGAAGCAGAGGGAGCATTGTCTCCTCCTGAAGGGAACTGAGGAGTGGGAAGAAAGGAGGTGAATGGCATTCCTGAAACGTGGGAAAAGAAATGTTTTGTCATGGTTTCCATGGAAACTGGGAATGGACAATAAGCACTTAGATGTTTTATCATGTCTCTTAGCACTTGTAGAATGCAACCTGTGTGAAAAGAAGCATTATGCTGTACAGGGAAGCTGACAGGTACCGAAATGGGAAAAAAATGTGAGAGAACCTGTGCCAGGGCATCCCAGCAGAGGGGCTACAGAGACAGCAGGGAGATGGCACTTCCTGAGGTGCTGCCGAAGAATGAGAATGAGGTACCCTGGAAGCATGGGAAGTGCAGAGTCAAACATCTGGGGAGACAGGATTTGGCATGGACAATCCCATGGAACTCCAGGGCACACACTACTCTTGGGCTCTCATTGCTGCCAGCCCCACTTTGGCACCTTTCTGTGATCCTGTATGTCCTTAGTCCAACCAGGCATCTCACTCACAGCTGTTCTGTTTGTGTGCTTCCTCACTGCACTCTTTGGGGTTTTATTCAACACATATTTTATGACTTTCATCACTCAAATTCATTTTGGTGCATTTGACTGGAAAAGGTCACGTAGATCCAGCTCAACCCCTAAATGACAGATCATGCCCACACACTATCAATACTCCAAAGAGCAAGACATTTCCCTGGTTACAATGCATTCCTAGGCCAAAAATCACTCTTTGTCCTCAGCACATCAAACATCCAATATGTTGTGGTCATGATTATTTTGGTCATTTTGCTTTCCCCATCTGCCTAAAAGATTAAATTTCTTCCTCTTGCTCCCACTCACATTCCTCCTCCAACATTTCCTTCAGGAAATCTTCTTATGGACGTGCAAAAAAAACTGCAGGCACTTATCACATGAAGCACATCATGATGAGAAACACCCACCCTTCTCATGAAGTACCACCTCCTTCCTATCCATCTTCCTGAAGTACATGCCAGTGATCATCTGCAACCACTCTGCACAAAGCTAAATAATTCTTCCTTCATGCTGAAACCACCAACAAAGAGCCTCCTTGGCCAGGGAAGCAGCATACACTGAATCCAGATGCCCAGAACAAGAGGAGGAACGAAATGTTCATATCTCTAGAAGCAAATAGTCCCTCTGCATTCCAGCACCCAGACTTGTTTTTTGCAGCAACACAGCATCACAGACCTTTCCATTTCCAATTACTCTCAGTGAATATTTATAGTGATCAGTCAACCTCTGAAAACCCATGGAAAATACCTGGTCCTGCTGGAAAAGACCGGGTATGTCATTAAAGCCAGCTCCAACTCTTGCACATTTCCAGGCTTTTGACATGACAGAGCAGAAATCTCCCCATTTCAAATCCCTGACATTTGCTGTAGCTGATCTCCCATCCCAGCTGGTGAGCTCCTGATCAGCAGTAAGATGCCAGAGGTAATGGTGGCATGGTTGTACACTTGGATGGGCACATTTATGTTCCTTTCTTGTAGCTCTGGGCTCTGCTCATGGATCTAATTGGTCTTTGTCACCCAAAAGCTTTGCCACTGGCAATGACCATCCAAGTTCTGAACCACTACCTGTTGTCACCAGTTGTTGCTGCCTAGGTGAGCCCCAAAACAAAAATTTCATCTAGTAAAAAGGCTGCATGTAACTTTTCCACAAAATTTTATCTCATCTTCCTCTGGTATCATTTCCTGCAGTGTATCACCTCAGTATCCAGTGTCTTTGGAAACCTCAGATACAAATTCTTTTGCCTGCCCAACTACAAATGCATGTGCATAATTCTGTCCATATTAATGAATCTCATAATCATAGCACTTAGCAGCATGTCCTCCACTTGCCAAATAGTAATTTGAAAATGGTGCCAGGAACATTAATGGGTGTCAGGAAAGGATGTGAATCACGGGAGTTCGGCGGTTTAATACGCTTACGCCTCCAGACCAGTATTCCTGTAGTTTTGGAAAGGCATCCCACAAATTACTGCCAGCAAATTTGTAGAGTACAGAATAGAGGAAGGGACCACTGAACCTCAGGATATCTCCCAAGTACCGAGAAAATAGCATATGCACAAGGGTTGTCAAGAGTAGCACATTAGACTGTGATAAATAAGCAGGTGCACCAGGGAGTTTGATGTAGAGTGTACAATGTATGTATTTATGTACTGAAAAATACCATCCCTGTATAGACATGGCCAAAGCTCTAAAAAAGTTAATGTATTTTCTATAGATGGCCCAAAGACATCCTTAAAAATCTAGAGATATTTGTGAGTACCAGATGGGGAGAAAACTGCAAGATGTCTTCCCTATTGGTAGCTGGGATTAAATCCAGAATAGTTGTTTTTCCCCACGGAGTTATATGACTATATTGTGACAGGTACATTATTTGAATCTACTTTTTCATGGTGGGGAGAAACATAGTTCAACTGAATTTATGTGAGAGTAAGGCCTCTCTTTGGCTATGTTAAATTACATTCTGGTGCACAGCAAACACAACTTGAAGCAAAGGTCTGTAGAGAATTAATATTCTAGATAAGGACTTAGGTTTTGCCTGACACAGCACCAGGATGAATGGGCTGTTGTTAGGTTGAATTCTTTTCTTGTTACCAAGCAGGTCTCCCAGTAGCACTTGCAAAGATAAGGAGATCAGATCTCCAAATTCAGCGTGAAAGCTGATCACTAAATCATGATGGAAATTTTTCTCTTGCTTTCAAGATATCAGGTAGTGGCCATTACGACAGTCTACTGTGTCAGTTTGGAGACATGTAAAATGCCCTATTTTCTTCACCCTTAATACCAAGATTGTTGCCTCCCCATTAATATGCCCTTTTTATCTTTTCTCTTTCATTTGATATGTAATGCTACACTTTGCTTTGCTTGGTAATTTGCTGTGTAACCTGCATCCCAAGTTGAACACAAGTGACTATGGGTCATATTTGTTTGGTAGCAGGTCTGGCTGCAGATCATCACTCAAGTTGTCCATACAGGATATGTAGCTGGTTGGCATATAACCATCTCTGCCTTGTAAATCTGAGGTCTCCCTTATCGCATTGCTTCACAGCAGAGATAAGTGTGTCCTGCAAACACATTTCTCTGCATCTGAATCTTTTTATGGATTTGCTTTGACTGTGTTCCTTCCTTTTTTTGTGTTTGCTTTCCACAGTTATCCTAGGGAACACATTTTCTGGAAGGAATACTCACCAAGTGTGAATTTAGTGTGAAAACATATTTCAGACTCATAATAACAGCCACTTACATCACAAAATAATTCCAGAAAGTTACACTCACCCACTTGGGAACAGAAACACATCACATCATCAGAATACCAACATGTCCCGAAGAACTGGCCACAAATGAGACACAAAGCACAGATTATTCCAATAAATTATTTAGCAAATAAGTCTGAGCAATAGGTCCATACATAAATATTGTGATCTCTTCTCAGATAATCGACAAAGATAAATGATTTAGCTATGTGTCAGATGAATTATTCAGCCAAATACTTGGAAAATAAGTGAGATGCAAACATTTGTTCTTAGACAAATCCTTTTAATCAACTAATCTTGTCAGCTTCTGACATAGGAAAAATGGAAAGAGAATGAAGCAGAACAGTTTCTTCCTGAGGAGCATTGATTATATGTCAGCAACATCCTTGTTTTAAATCTGGAGAAGATGTCTTTGAATGCTAGTAGCTTTCTTAAATCTTTCTTTGAGTTTGTAAAATCATACATAGCCTCAAGACACTACATCTCGGAAGTTCTGCAGAGATGCTCAAGGTCACAGTCAACGTGTTTATCAGAGAGATTCAAGAAATTAGTGAAATAGCATCTCATGCAGCTCCATTTGTTTCCTCTGTTGGATCACAAAGTGTATTTCTCTCTTCTTGCACCTTTCCTGAGTTACAT